GGAGGGAGTCGGAGAGGTTGGGGACCATTGGTTTTCCGAACTGGTGGAGGGTGCTGGGGGTTTGTAGCCCCCGGGACCGGAGTGCTGGCTTTGGGAGTAGGAGCTTTGCTTCCCTTCTTGGCATTAAGTCGTTGCCCCCCCGAAATAAAATTCGATGAGACGGCCTTCGCTCCAGCAGCGGCATCAGTTGATTCCGGTGCGATGGCAGAATAGTTGATGGACTGTGCCATCGTACCATGGGGGTGAAGAAGCCCACCGGTAGGTAGCTTGCCGCCGCTTACGACACTTCCCGGGGTGCTGGTGCCGCTGGTGCGCTGTGGCTCTTCATATCCTACGGGAGGAGCGAAGTCGACTTCTAGATCGGTCTCTAGCACGGACACCGCACTTTTGGAGCCCGCAGGTTTGGTCTCGAGGACGGCCATCTCGTAGATCTGGTCATTATAGGCAAATGTGAAAACGTCGCCCTTTGTCAGGCAAGAAAAGTTGCGGAACGCATTTTCAAGCACAGCCTTGGGATCACTAATATCGAGGAAGGAGGTCGACTGAGCTTGAAGCTTGATAAATTGACCCGGGGGGAGGTCTGTAGACTTGATCTGGAGAAGGTCACCGGGTTCTAAGAGGAGCGTTTGCATGAGCTAAAGAGGATAGTTAGGAAGTTAGAACCGAGCTTGATGTTGATGGCGTTTTTTGAATTCGGAGGCGGTTTTCATGCCACTCACCCAAAATGGTAGATAGATCTTGCCCTCTTCAGCGATGAACTCCAAAACACCAGCATGGGTCATCCTTTCCTTTGCACCATTATGCAGCTCGAAAAGCATAGGATAGGTTATGTGGAGGCGAGTGAGCTTGTCCAATGCGCTTGGAGGCATGATGACTTTCCCGCCATGGTTGACATTCTCTCGCTCGGGACCGGGAAGCATTGCAACTGGATAGCAGCGGTAATATTCATCGAAACGGCGAGCCGTGCCGCGCATCATGCCGGCACCTAGAACACCTTCCATAGGGTCATCGAAACCGTAGTCGGGTCGGAACTGAGAGCTATTAGATCGGAATCTTGGGAGCTCCCTCGATAGCTGGGGAGAAGGCAGAGACTCACCATGATTTGACGTGATATAGAGTGGAATCACGAATGTTGAACACAGAGAGGTGTTTGAAGCATCGAAATCTGTGCCAAGTGAAGAAGACCAGGACGCTCAATTCCCAAAGTGCATCAAAGTGCAGTGAGCGGGCGGAGTGACGCAAGGCAAGGTTGCTCCGCCCACAATTTGCCGCTCCGCTCCGACTTTACATACACTTGCACTTGCACATGCCCGCAACAAGACGTTTGCACAGCTACGCAACAGCTCTCGGCCTGTCACTATCTTCCGTTTGAAGTACCATGCAGAGCTCACAGTCTCGCCCCAAGCGGGCTGGTGAAGATTTCACACGTTCCCATCTCGATCAGGACGAGCTTGAAGCTTCCTCAGATAAAAAGCCACGATTTGATCTCCGCAATCCCTCTGCTCTTGCGCCCGAAGCGCCCGAAGAAGACGCTGTTCTAGATGCCGATGAGATTGGTCGACGAGGCCAAAAATTACGAAGGAAAGCGATCAATATCGACGGTTACGACTCAGACAGTGACAATGAGGGGTTCTCCGCACGCAGAGAGGAAAAATCAAAGCATGAACAGGAGAAGGAAAACGCCGAGGACAACGACGACATGTTCGCTGAGCTAGAAGACGACTTTGGCGAGGGCGAGGGTGATGCCGGTGCCGACGAGAAAGCGCGCAAAAACAAGAAGAATGTTCGATTCCTACAGAATGACGAGATCGAGGGCCAGGTTGCTTCCTCGACAGGCGGGAAGAAACTATCAGCCGACTTAAGCAAAGGTGCCGCCGATGCGATGAATAACGACGACTCAGAAAGTGATAGTGAAGTCGACGAGGAGGAAAGGGCCAAGGCGGACGAAGAACAGGACGAAGAGCTTGGCGCTGGCGCAAAGAAGAAGCATGCGCCTTTGCTCGATGCATTCAATATGGCGACGGAGCAGGAAGAGGGTCGGTTCGACGAACAGGGCAATTACGTACGAAGAGCCGTGGACCCGGACGCTGCTTACGATTCTTGGCTGGATGGGGTGTCCAAGAAGGATATTCGCAAGGCAAAAGAAGCCGCTGAAAAGCGCGACGAAGAAAGAAAGCAAAAGAACCGGATGGATGGGGAGGTGTTGACTGCTGATGTTTTGAACACAATTATCACACACCTGGAACGTGGCGAAACAATACTAGAAGCGCTGGCCCGGCTCGGCAAGGGTCTTCAACGAAAGCCAAAATGGCAGAACAAGAAGAAAAATAACAAAAAGGGGAAAGAACCCGAAGACGCTGAGATGACGGATGAGAACTCGGACGAAGCTAGAAGAAGGGAAGCGATCGAGGCTGTTACTGGGGCAGCTGATATCCTGATGGGTCGGGATCAACCTGAAATTTACGACACAGAGCGCGAACTTCTCACTCGACAGTATAAGAGTGAGACGGGCGAAGCCTGGGTTGATCCGCCGCCGTCTGCAGAGCTTGAGCAAGGGCCTGCGATGTGGGAGTATCGTTGGTCTGACGCCCGCGATGGCGGTGATGCCCATGGGCCTTATGAAAGCTCTATGATGCAGGCATGGCAAAGCGCCGGATATTTTGGCGAAGGCGTGGAGTTTCGCAGGGTGGGAGATACAGGACCGTGGAGTGGTACAGTCAATTTTGTGTAATGTAATACCGGAAAATGCAATTAGGTCTCAAATCAATTCCAAAAGCATAAAAATCTCCTTGAAAAAGCGCCAATCCTATCATACATCATTTGATGTGGCAATCAAAAGAAAAGAGTCAAATAGTAGAGTTTTTCTTCCCGCTAAACCGTCTCCCCATGAGCCTTGAACGCGCCTATGGAAAAAAGAAAAGCGAACTGTTATTATGAAAGTTCCATGGCATCGCCATTGGTAGTCGCCGTGAAATTGACGGTGCCTTGATCTCCGATGAAACGCTGTTCATATTGGTTGACAAACTTGACACTGCGAGCCGGATCGTAGAACAGACGGAAGCTGCGTTGTACGTCGTCGATACTGACCTCCTTGGCTTTGCGTTTCTGGCTCAGGAGATGAGAGGTAGTGATGATATTGCTTGCGTATCGAAGGTTAGACTCCTCGCCAATCTTCGTCAGGAGGGCAAGGGCATCAGGTGAGACATCGATTTCCTCTTCTTGTGCCCGAATGGCCAGGATTTGCCGAATTTCATCCGCGCTGTACGGTTGGGTGCTGACGATGACAACCCGGTCGAGGAAGTCCAAAGGAAGACCATGCGGTGATGTATAGGTGGTGCCACGAATCTTAGCCTGACCGCGGTTACTGGCCATGATAACAATGGGTGCCAGCTCGGCTTCGAGGGCACGGTTGATGTAAGAAAAGCACTCAATGTCGAGCATGTGAACCTCGTCGATAAAAAGAACACCGGGGATAATTTCGGCTTTGCCTTCTTCCTTCCACTCTGCTACCTTGGTGTTGATCTGATCGCGAACCTCGCTTCGGATCTCCCCAGTGTCGCCCGAGAAAAGTGCCAAAAATCCCTGTGACCGCGAGTTGATGACATCAATCTCATGCAGGCTGACAGTGTGAACAATTTCCTTGCGAACCTGCAATTCGCCCTCGGGGCATTGCACAAACTTGGTGTCGGCGCCCATGGCGTCGTAGTCCCTAGAGCGAGCGTACGAGCGACCGAGCTTGGTGATTTTGCCGGAGGACTTATCAATGGAGATTACGTCACCCGCCATCACGCGTTCCTTGGTCATTGAATCGATCATCTTTGTTCCCATATCGTAAATCGTTTCCATGTCGGTGGTTTTGATCGTAAGCTTGCCTTGCTTGTTGCCCTATGAGATAACGGTGGTCAGCTTGTCGCTTATTCTGTCGCGGGAAAGGACCAGAGAGGCTACATACTCCAGTAACGCTTCGATCAATCTGAATTTCCACCACCTCACCCTCAATGATCTCGCTCTCCTCCTTGATTCGCACACCGATAGATTTTCGGAAGGCCTGGGTCAGAGCCTCAGTTTTGGACATCTCCATGGAGAAGATTTCCGATGAAGCGAGCATCGTGAAGGGAACGTCGGATCCAAGCGATTGGGCCATACCCATAGCGATGGCAGTCTTTCCGGTGCTAGGAGGGCCAGCAATTAACACGGCGCGACCGGCGATTTTGCCTTCCTTCACCATTTGCAGAATCACAGCGGCAGCCTTGCGCGCCTTTTCTTGGCCGACCAGACCCTGGGATGCGCCACGGGGCTGTAGTGTGTCCAAATCGACACCGAGGCCTCTGATATGCGAATGGGCAGCGATGAGGTTCAAGCCCCGGAGCTCCTTGCTCTCCGCGACAGTGGAAATAGGCTATTTCTGGGGGTTAGTAGGGGCAGGTGAACGATTGGGAGCTTCACAACTCACGACAGCCATTGTGACCGAATTCCAGAAGGTCTTAGTCTGGGGGAACAGGAAGCAGGTGTTGAGAATGAAAGGCGGAAGTTGAGGTGAGAGATTCCTCGCGCCTTCTCCTGTCCAATCAAGATCCAATGTCACGTGACTCATAACCAATTAATCCCCAAGGTGGAAGGCGCAAACAGCAAACGCAGTCTTCGGCTCTGACGTGAAAGATCACGTTCTTATGTTCTCTTTCTCTTTCTCTCCCTCCTCCACTTCATGCGATCTGTGAAACTGCCCTCTACCCCCAAGGTATGGCACCCTTTTCTCTCCTGCCATCCTCCTCTTCCACTAACCAACTCTCTCTTTAGTTTGGTTGCACTAGCGCGACGCGCTCCGTGTGATAGATCACGTCTGTGCTTGCGCTGAACAAGGAATCAATGCTTGCTGCACATTTTTACCGTGGAGCTGATAGTGATTCTGCGTTCCCTCAACCCACAGAATTGTCTATCATATCGAGATGTTCTATCGACCACATGTGTGATTTCTTCCCTGGCCAGTTGCAATCTACAGCATGGAGGTGAACAGTCCACACAACGTGCCCAGCCAGGCCAATTCCAGAGCTCCCATGCCCACCTCAAGTGACCCTCGTCTAAAGCGACCTCGCCCACCACTTGCGACATCTTCTTTCCCTCGCCACTCACAAAATTCGCAGCCCTCGTCTCCGACCACCACTTCCCTACCTGCTCACGAACAAGCACAACATCCTCTATCAAGAGAAGCTTCGGATTTGGCGCCGCGCATACAATCTGATCCGGCACAGAAGATAGATGGATTGGACTTTAGCGGGTTGTTGCTAGAGTTCGTGGATGCCCGAGCTTCACGAATGCTCCAGATACAAGAAAGGACAAAACTTGAAAGAGAGGAGTCTTCCTATCAACGTGACCTGGTAAAGGCAAGACAAACAAAGTCTTTCCCCGCCACGATTGAAAGCTTGGAGGCCGACGCCGCGGCCTGCAAAAATCGGCTGGCCAAGATCAACCATATTATCACCCGGCACCAAACACGCTCAACCGAACTCAATGGGGATATCGGCAAATTGCTTCGACAGACCACAAATTTGCAGACCCCTCCAGCAACGGGTCCCGTCCAGACTACCTCTGGCACTGTTAAGAACATGGCTAGGCTGGAAGATGACGTGAGGAAGATCAAACGAACAATATTCATTAAGAAAGAGGATGACCTCCCTGAAAAGCCCATCGACATCTTTAAAGTCTGCAACACTGTTGAGTCGCAATCAAAAGCGCACACAACCTTCCGGAAAAGCATCAATGCTATCGAGGAATGGAGATCCACTGCAGAATATGAAACAAGGCATTTCATGGAAGCAAGAACACAGCAAACTCAGGAACGAGCTTCGTCAAGACAGGAAATAGATCAGCTCACAGCCCAGGCGCGAAAGACCACCGAAGCCCTCTCAGATTTAAAAAATTTCCTGCAAGCTATTAACCAGACAGTTCAAAGACATGAAAACAGTGTCTGTACACTGTCTGCCGATCAAAAGAATATGGGAATCGCATTAAGCACACAGAGAGAGCAACTGGAATACAAACTTGCAGTACAAGGGCAAGCATTATCTGATGCTATTTCCGATGTCACCAAAAAAAATCGATCATACTTCTCAAAGGGTCGATGCTCTAAATAATTCCGACCAAGAGCGAGCTCCGTCTTCTGAATCGCCTGCTGGCCTCAGAGAACGGATATCAGATCATGATAAAAGGCTCATAAAGATGAAAGAGGGTTGGGATGATCTTCTACGTCGTGTCCCAGCTCTATATGAGGCCTCTGAAGAGGTTAAAAACTGCAGTAAGAGTTACGAGGGACTTGCTACAGCTCTTCGATCTTTGGAACTTCGATACAACAATATCAATACAGAGTCCATGGTCACACAAATGGCTCATGTCATACAAGAGATGTACCCATCAGCCCGTCAGTTGAATGAAGAAGTCGTTGCACTCAGAAATACTGTCAACCGGGATATACCAGGAATCAAAACAGGCACCAATTGGCATCTTGACAAGTTCCAGGAGCTCCAAGCCCAGTATAACGTTCTCCGCCATGCATTCTCTACTTGCCAGACCGAGTGTCTCAACACTGCATCTGCATCCAAGGAAAGCAACGAAGCTTCAACTACAAAGTCAAATGAACTGGAAGCGCAGCTCCAAGACCTGAAAACCCAACTTGAAGCTACGCGAAAGTTAGTGGATGAGCTACGAATACAGCCACCGACAGAAATGGCTCCACAATCTTCTCCGACAGAGAACACTAGTGCCACGCAAGCCCAGGAAATATGCGACCAGATGAGGGCAATGCTTAACAAAACAAAGAGTGAAATGGTAGATTTACGGGCTGATGTGAATTCCATGCTTTCATCCCAGTCGACGGCTCTAGCAGATGTCCAGGAGTCGAGCAGGCGAAACCAAAATCAATCGCAGGAATTGGAATCGGCTCTTACCAACAAACCTTCCGCTGGCTCCAGAGGGTCTGAATCAACCACACAGCCCCCATTGGGCCATTCAGAGCCTGTCTCCACAGATCCCCTTCGCCAGTCTTCAGCGCGCATCCAACACAATCAGGCTTCAGGAATACAACAAAATGGCGGTGGTCTTCCAAGCTCCCCACTCAAGACTGGTATCTCTTCAACCCCCCAGGCCCATCCGATGTCTGCAGCGGTTGCAAATAACAAACGTCTGAGAGAAGAATGCTCTGATGATGACAGTCCATCAGCAGCCGCCACCACCACTAGCGAGTCGCCTGCGCCATCTTCTAATCCCGATATAAGGATAGGTCAAAGGTCACTGAAGAGAAAGAAGAAGAAGAAGATCAGGCAAAATAATTTGGGAGCTCAAGGGTTTTGATACCACAATTCTTGTACTGGAGGGTTTTTCCGCGTTTGATTTACTAGTGATACCTATGCGTCCCGAGTGGACTTTTGAACGTCATGCAATTATCTTTCTATCCTTCTATTGGTCTTCTAGTAATATATTCGAATGCCTGTGTATTTAATGGACGATTCGCTCCAATTAGGGTGATCCCAGAAATTTCACCACCGCTGTTAAAAAAAGACCTTCAAGTTAGCACCCAATTTGTCTGGCAACTCGAACTTCAACAACTTACCCTGTCTGAATCCCTCGGGGTTTTCAGAAATAAGCCAGTGTCCAGCCTCAACGTCGGCAACCTGTGCGCTCGGAAAGAATTTCTTGATAGCCGGCAGTGTGTCATCTGATACGTATTGAGACTTCGTTCCGCGAACGAACAATGCTGGCCCATTGTATTGAATGGAGTCCGACTGGCCATATGGGAAGTCTGCCATGTTGTCAAGAGATTTGCCCAAGACTGCCAAGGGAACACGGAACTTGTATGTCCCATCATCCTCAGAGCGGATCAAGTTGGTGAGAAGGAATTGACGGATTCCAAGAGACTAAACGGCAGTGTTGTGAGCGTCTGGATCATGTTGCATACGCCTTGAGAATATGGTTGATATACCTCTTCGTAGGCCTCAAGAATCTTGCTGGCTTCCGACTGCTTCTTCACCTTTTCATTTTCTACATGCTGCATTCCGCGCACATATTTAGGGAAGTCGCTCTTCAGCGTTGCGTTGACTGGAGCGTTGTCCACGGGAATCAGGCCCGAGACGCGCTCCGGAGTACGGAGGGCCATTGTCATTGCCACTTTGGCGCCCCTTTTTCAATATTAGCGCATGTTAAAAGATGGAATTCATGACTGGATAGCGAGTCTAGGCTGGGTTCACAACTTACATGGAGTGTCCGATGAGAACACACTTATCCATCTTTTGTTGCTGAATGAATTCCTGGACGTCGTCGGCCATCGCACTATAATTGTGTTCCGGGGCATGGAAAGACTGTCCATGGTTCCGTAGATCCTGATCGGCGAATTAGTTGTAAGACTCCTTCAATGAACTAGGCTCTCCGGATCAATAGGGAATGCGAGTCTTGAGTGTACCAGACAGAAAATTTGACGCTTCAAATCGCGGGCTAGGGCTCTGGAAAATGATGTTAGGCTCAAAACGAGAATGCGCTAACATGGCTATCGCGTACTTGCTGATACTCCGATTATTTTGCTTAGAGCCGAAGAGTCCATGCAGGAACAGAATGGGATCCCGAGTAGCCTGCTCTTTCTCCGGACCGTAGACTTGGTAAGCCAGCTCAGCGCGAAAGACGCGTGCCGTCGAAAAGGCACGAAGCCCGGATACACCTCGAGTAGCGGTGACAGCTGTTCTAACAAACAACATGATTGCAGGCTTGGATTGTAGAGGTTCTCATGGATCTCGGAGAGCGCGACTCGTCGCCGTCGAGAAATCGGGAACCTCTCCGTGATGACTAATCAGGTCGAGGGACATGATGGATCAATGATAACCAGTCCAACAATCCCCTGACCATTAAACAAGCGATATCAATAAGATAGGTCGTGCAAAACGCATACCCGGGTGATTGATAGTTTGTTGAAGTGGAAATTCCAGGCAGCTGGATGAAGTTAAATGTATTTTTGTTAATTGGAATCTGTTCCATCCTCTGCTTTCCTCAACAGCAAACACAAACAAGAATTGACCGCCCAGATGGCAATGGATGGAACTAAAAAGGTGCCATTTCCCCTTGGAGATAGCTCCTACTATTCTTGGCCTTATTGTAAACTTTGAAGGACCCTTTTAGCGGGCTACATACTGAAAAAAGGCTCGAGAAGGCCTAGCCTACTTGCCCCACTTCAATTGCATCATGGAGAGGACCAGGTAGAGCATTGATATCGCATAACAGTCATTCAATTGGGCAATATGAGAGGATGCCACTGCCAAAAGCCACAGGACGCGGAGTGCATGCCGATCTGTAAGGGCTGCCAGTGAGGAGGGGTAATTCTCAGCCAAGACGACGAGGCTTACAAATACCCTGGAAAATGGAGAGAACCATGAATTTAGATCAACCATAGGGAAGAAATATAAGGGTAAAGAGACAGGTCCTCTTTCCTTACGCTTCCTCCCCCACAGTGTCATCATCCTTTAGCACCATGATGCCTGACCGTCCAGCTACCCCCAATCCAAAACCGTTCACCATATCGGTTTCCGATGAGGAACTCCACCAGCTCCAGCAACGTCTTGCCCTGGCTAAATTTCCTTCTCAACTAGAATCCGCTGACCAAGATCCGTGGGATTTTGGTGTTCCCGCAAAAGATGTTCAACGACTCGCAAATTATTGGAAGGATGGGTTTAACTGGAGAAAAGCAGAGGCCAAGTTGAATGAACTGCCTCAGTATCATACTGACATAGAAGTTGAGGGATTTGGTATCTTGGATATTCACTGTAAGTTTATGCTTGAATATCTCATGATAATTGGCTAACATCATTTGAAGTCATTCATCAGAAAAGTGACGCAGAAAGTGCCATTCCTTTGCTTTTCAGCCATGGATGTAAGCGAGCCCAACATTTCAATAATGATGCTCCCAATAAAAATAGGCAGCTTTGACTAAACTCTATCTTAGGGCCGGGGTCGTTCATCGAAGTGACAAAACTCTTACCTCTGCTGAAAGGTGGTGATGGCCAGCCTGCATTTCACGTTGTCGCACCCTCCCTGCCGAACTTTGGGTTCTCTTCCGGAGTCAATCGACGTGGGTTCGGGCTTGCACAATATGCCGAAGTTCTGCATAAACTTATGATAAACTTGGGTTATGAAGAGTATGGTGAGTTGTAGCCGCAAACTCAGGATGTCAAGGACATACATACTGATATTATGACCTCTTTAGTTACCCAGGGTGGAGACTGGGGCTATTGGATAACACGAGCGGTCGGTTACCGGTACCCTGACCACTGCAAGGCCTCCCACGTCAATATGATCGAGGCCAAACCGCCCAAGTGGAGTACAAGTCCATTTCTTGCCCTTCAACATGCCCTCAAGCCATACTCCGACGCAGAGAAGGCAGGCCGTGAAAGGGCTGAATGGTTTGATCGCGAAGGATATGGCTACAACACAATCCAGCGAACTAAGCCACAAACAATCGGCGTTTCGTTGGCTGATAGCCCGGTCGCCCTTCTGGCTTGGATATACGAAAAGCTCCATGACTGGACAGACTCGTACCCATGGACTGACGACGAGATATTGACTTGGATATCAATTTATTGGTTCTCCAGGGCAGGACCAGAGGCCAGTGTTCGTATCTATTACGAAGGTTTTCACTCCGAATCTGTGTCAGGGATCCCATACTCCAAGCTCATGTCCTACATTCCTGGCGTGAAGCTTGGTCTTGCCCACCTGCCATGTGAGATTGCCGCAGCCCCCTCCACTTGGGTTGCAACATTGGGCCCGGTGGTCCGACAGAGTCGGCACGATAATGGTGGTCACTTTGCAGCATGGGAAGTCCCTAATGTCATTGTGAATGACCTTCATGCAATGCTTGGCAAACAAGGTCCTTGCTATGGTCTGATTCCCGGCCGGGACGGCTATTGAAGAGGTTTGGTCTTTTTCCCAATTATTTTTCATGACTAGGTTCTACAACAATGTTACATCCCCTAGGATAGCAAGTGGACTCCAAGAGATCAAGTAAAAGATGGTCTGCACAGGGTTCAATTACCTGCATGAGAGACTATCGAGTCTTCTGCATGCATAGTCAAAAACTTGCATGATGGTGCACAGATGCACCTGTATATACAGAATCTCGTTTGAAAATGTGGAAATTACGATTGATTCCAGTAAGAATCAGGACCATCTTCGCAATAATCGAGATCCATCTTGATATTATTTGGAATACAGTGGTGACATTGCATGCATCTTAATGATAGGCTGCACCAGAGGTATTGACATCTGAATGGCCTCCTGATGACCAAACTCCAGAGGGTACCCAGAATCGTACTATAATTTGCTTTTTATGGAGCGTAGATCTGGTCATCCGCTCGGGTTTTCTCCAAGGACAAAGAGGCTGGTTCCAAGGTTTACCTGATAATTATGGCGACCTCGGCCAACACTCTGCCGCTCAATCCGCAATCCATATATTCCAAATACCATCCGACAGTATAATAGCTTGCCTAGCCCGCCATGACCCGGGATTCGAGCACTGACTCTCGAAATCAACTTCTCTAATCTGGTTCAAACTCTTTTTTTCCGTAAAATCTACGAAGGTCAGGCTCTTTTTGGAAGGTGGGATCCCAAATCTAGTGGTTGGTAAGCATTATAATATACACACAAAAATTACTACTGTGTGCCGCAAAGAGAATTGAGGCGCAGCGAAAAGATTTTCTTCAACCCCACTGAACATCCTCGAGTCGCACTTTCCACCTCTGGCGATCTTACGGCGGTTTGGGATGCGTTTGTGGGTCTAATCTTAGCAAAAGCCAGGCGGTGATGGGTAGAGACGCTCCCTTGGACGAGAAGGGAAATTCGCAAGCCCATCAAACAGGCAAATGCACCGTTCAACCGTATCCACCAAGCTTTGTTGCTTCCGGTACAAAGTTGGCACTAGCCAACTTAGACTGTTATCTGATCGGGTCTGGCGCTCATCTTTGCTCTCCCCCACCCCACGAAAACTGTAAAATTTCCGGAGTCCCTGCAGCTCGATTGCCATTCTGGCTCATCCGACTGCCAGTGCCAATTTTTTGACTTTCAATCGTATTTGAAGCTCCGTGGTTGGCCAAGATCTGAAACCATGGAACGCCAAGAGATTGATACGCGAATTGATTGATAACGATGTCCGCTCCCGAGGTAGCGGAACCGGTCGGTGAATATTGAGTCTTTGTGGGATAATAGAATCTTTATATCCGGGACTTTTAAAATGTGATGCACTCATTTCTTTATTCTGTCTGATCTACTATTATTGCCCATTTCTCAAATTGATCATTGGAAATGAGTATCAAAGAAGTTCTTCACACCAACAATGTTTGGAGCGACAAGTATTTCGCTATTTCTGTTGGGGTAATCATGGTCTTTATAACGGTACATCATTGGGGAAATGTAATATATCTGAATTATGGCCCTCGAAAGCCAGGCCCAATCCTACGAAGGATCATGCAATATCGTCGGTAAGTATATGGCCTTGATGCTTGGAGCTGAGATTCTAATTGAACAGTGCCGGAGCGCGATATTTGAAGAAAGAAGTGTTAGGCATATCTCTGGAAAGATGGTCTTTATATTCCATATACTGGGCTATCAATCTGATTCTCGCTCTGACCAATGTTGATCTGACAAGTCTTAAATATGTAAGTCAGTCTAGAATGGACATTCCAAGGAGCCTCACTAAATCTACTCTAGGTTGCTAAGCGGTTTGGGTGGTATGCGTTACTCCACTGGTAAATTCAACTATTGATTCCAAGACATATGCTAAATAGTATTCTCTCATTCAGGATATCCGTCACAAACTTCGTTTTGGTTGTTTTTCTTGCCCTTAAGAACACACCCTTGGCCCCTTTATCCGGCCACTCATATGAGAAGCTACGGCCGTTGCACAAAACCGCTGGCTACAACTGCATATTCACAACCCTCCTTCACGCCTCTGTATATTTGAGCTCCTATGGAATATCTGGTGATCTCCAAAATATGCGCCAAACGGAAAACCTTGCAGGTGCGATAGCTGGCCTGGCCATGGTCGTCATTGGCTTTTCAACCATAGCTTGGTTGGCACGAAACTATTATGAATGTGAGTATCTCACAAATAATGATCTTTGAAATTCCATTGTTGACTTTTTCTAGTGTTCTATATCATTCACATTGTCATGTTTCTCCTGATCATCATCCTAGTCGGAATGCATCGACCAGAATTCAGCAGCTCAACCCTGAGTATCATAATATTCACCGCATGTATATGGTTTGCTGATAGACTTATTCGAATTGCAAAGCTATGCTGGAATCTACCCAGAAATCATGCAACGATTTACCCGATGGCTGATGGAGCAGTTAAAGTGAAGCTCCTTCGTCCCATTTCATGTAAACCCGGGTCTCATGTATTTCTATGGATGCCATCAATACGCTTCTTCGAAACCCATCCTTTTACGCTTGTCAGCACAGACCCTGCCGAATTCTTGATTCGGAAGTATGACGGCTACACTGGCTCTCTATATGAGGCAGCACAAAATCAACCAGGGAAAGTTCTTCGATGCTCCATAGATGGCGGATACGGTCAAGTCCCTAATTTCACGGACTTTGACCGAGTAATTTTGGTCGCTGGTGGCAGTGGATCTACCTTCACCTTTTCAATTGCGCTGAACATGATCAAAGAAGCTACCGCTTCCAATATTCACAAAACGATTGACTTTATTTGGGCAGTCAAACGATCGGGTGAGTAGTATCACTCAACAGCATTACATTTAAAGGCTTTATGATCTGACACACAGATAGAGTCTCTGCAATGGTTCGAGCAAGAAATAAATCAGCTCCAAGAGAGTGAGCATGTGAATCTATTCATTTACGTTACTTCTGATACAACGTCTGATAAAAGGTCGGACTCTTCGAGCCTGGCTTCAACAGGTGCTATTGATGACGCGGAGAAAGGGAGAGAAGGAGTGACAGACCAGGCTATTGGACTGCCTAGTATCCGGTATGGGCGACCGGATGTGTTCAATCTAGTTACCTATTTCATTTCCCAGTGTGGCTCGGAGAGTCGTGTTGGAGTAGGTGCTTGCGGTCCCACACAAATGATCCGGATGACACAAAACGCTGTGTCTCAAGAAGCTAACGATATCGGGCCTTCAATTACGTTTCATACTGAAGTGAGTGACCACGCGCAATATTCGAAAATCTTGACATGACTAATTTGATAAAAAGGAATTTGTGTGGTAAAAAAATACATGTTGACCTATTTACACTGAGTGGTTATGTATGGATATTCATAACTTGCATTTGAAGAGCCGCCTTTGTAGCAAATTTGGGAGATTCTTCATTGATATCTATTTTAGAATTTGTGAATTTCAACTTTTTATATATCGTTCATAGAGCACACTGCAAAATTGTGTTAGAAGTTAAGCCCATTATTACCAAATGGACGTTATAAAAACGGTTGGCTGAACCTGAATCAAGCTCTCAAGATCAAGTGAAGATGGTCCGACTGTGAACGCTTCAAAAATTGCAAAAAGTCAACTTTGAATCAAATCGTTTGCCTGAGCAGTTGTTGACCGTATCTGAATTTTTTGGGAATTTCAAAATGAAGATCAAGACCAACATGGCGCGCCTAAATCCGTCTTAAATCCGGCTGACCCATGACATGTCCAATTCGTCCGGTCTTCCGCGGAAGGAGCTCATCAGAAACGATTCTCTACTCGACGACCAAATCATAATTATCGAGAGCACCTCCTCAGTTGCCGCATCTGTTATACCTACCCAGTCTCTCTCACAGATCGTATCACTTGCCCCGGCAGGCAGCCAACACCCTTCCCCGCTAGAAGTGGGTATCAGCGACTCGGAGATTCAGACCATAGCTGACTTGCGGAAAAGCAGGATACATACGATAGAAGCAGACATTCTGCAGACAAAGCATCACCATAATGCAAAATTTCTGGCTTATCCCAAACCTGCTCGCTTCCGTCGTTTCTTCGGCGGGGGGAATCATCGCACTTGCCAATCCATCAGCTCTATCTGGATCGTCTCAGGTTACCAAGGGGGAGCTTTATTATCAACGTATGTACTCGGCACGTGCTCTGCCATTGGGGGTTCTTGCAGGTATCCTTCCATTTTACTACGAGGGCCCGGCGGTAGCGTCGGCGGTTTTGGCATCTGCGGTAGTTCAGGCAGCGGATGTCCTTATTGGATATAGCAAGGGAGATAGAGGTATGATGTGTGGGGCATCACTGGCAACAGTTTTCCATGTACTATGTTTCTTCTCTCTTGACTGATTCATCGCCTGTGTATTGGCATCTACAATACTATTCGCGTGGACGTGAACATTTCAAGACCAAATTGAAACTTCAAGTTGAACTTGAAGTCGAGTCTTGTTCGTAAGCGGCTGCTCTGACTGAGGCCAGTATATGCATTCTATTCAAATTTATCGAGAATTACCAGTCGAATAAGCTCCAGCAGAGTTCCAATTGCATATATACTAATCTTGGAAAAATACCCCGCCAAAATGCTTTGAAGATGTAATTTGACCCCGATATCGGTGCGGTGCAGTGCGGGGGTGGGACGTTGAGACCTCCCGTATGCCATAAACTCGAAAGTCTGACCAGTCGGAGTTCCCGAACAGATGATTGGATTGGCATTTCAATATGCAAGTATGGTATTTCAGCAAATATATACATTTAGGTATCTTTATAAGTGGTCTTCTAATTTAGCTCTCCAGGAGGGGTGGCACCTTCTCAACGAGGTACTCGACAATGGCATCGGGACCCCGCTCGACCTGGAGCCCGGTGGGAATGGCGTGCAATTTGATGGTGGGATTGACCGACTTGGCGATTTTGTGGATCTGTTTGGCCTCCTCATCGGTCCACATCGAAGCGCTGAACTATTGGTGGGTTAGTTGGTGGTTCTGGATTTTTCTCGGATAAGGTCTCGGATATCCCGAGCAGACACTTACCAGGACCTCGGGCATGTGCTGCTTGACCTTGGCCTCGACCTCGTCGATCTCTGTGAAAATGTGTTAGCTGTACCGTCTGATATAGTCAATTGTGGTAGATACACTTACTTTCGCAATTGTCGACGTGGATGATGGTATATTGATCCTTCAGCGCCTCGGCAACACGGCCGATGAGACGCTTTGCGCGTTCGGGGGCGGTGTTGACGGTGACGAGGTGGAAGGGACCCTTGGGAGCAGACATTTTGATATAGACGTGGAAGCAAAACAGTATCAATCGGCCAGAAATGCGACTTCGCGGGGGCTTTTATGTGGAATCGGCGCCGATTTCGTCGCCACCGAAATCGCTCTCCACAATTGCAGATTGTGGGTGGCCCGGGGTAGAAATACTCCGCCGATCTTAAGAACGCGCTTTTCCCCTCAATTCCTCTCGATCTTCAAATTCACAATGTCCAAAATCGCATCCACCTTTTCGCGTGAGTCAGAACAACAGATTTAAATATTGATGAAATCTAACACATCCAGGCCTGGTGCGCTTCGTGCCTAAGTCCAACCCCGCCAAGGTTCTGATCGGTGAGCCGGTCGACCCGAAGCTTGATGTTGGACTCGCCATCTATCGGGGCGAGGAGGTTTCCGTGCGACCTTTCTCTGGATCTTCGATTCTTAACCCTGGACAAGTGACTGGTACTACCGAAACCATTGCGCGACTGCTATCCCCTCTGGCGCAGACCGAGGTGGGCTCGATCCGCTGCATCGGATTGAACGTGAGTACTAATTACCCCATGCCTCGACTGTAGGCGTTTTCATAACTTATATATTGACACATCCGATTAGTATAGCTCGCATGCCAAGGAAATGTCTCTCCCTATCCCTGATGTGCCGACTCTCTTTATGAAGCCATCAACCGCCCTGGCCGACCCATGGCCCGCGCCTACTGTTCTGCCTAAGATTACGCAGCAGGACAACACCGGCGACTACGAGTCTGAAATGGTTATCGTTATTGGTCGCGATGCGAAGGATGTATCTGAGTCCGAGGCTCTGGATTACGTTCTGGGCTACACCGCCGCCAACGACGTGTCCAGCCGGACTTCACAGATGAACCAAAGCCAATGGTCTTTCTCCAAGGGTTTCGATGGCGCTTGCCCTATCGGTATGAGTCCATCCGGTATCAGATACTTGGAATTGTGTCCCATAGCGCTGACATGATGAATAGGCCCCACCCTTGTTTCTGCAGCTTTGATTCCCGATGCTAGCAAGCTCCACATCCGTGGTCTTAAGAGCGGCCGTGTTATGCAGGACTGCCCTCTGACGTATGTAAAGCTCGATCTTGAAAAGGAAATCACATACTGACCAACACTCGACAGTGATTTGATCTTTAGTGTTCCGCAGCTAGTCAGCTTCCTCTCCCAGGGCACTACCCTGCCTGCTGGTACCATCATTCTGACCGGTACTCCTCCCGGTGTTGGTGCAGCCAAGAACCCCAAAGAGTTTATTAAGGCTGGAGATGAGTTTTCTGTGGAGCTGCTTCCTCACGTGGGCACCCTGATCAACAAGATTGAGAACCAGTAGAAGAACTCGGCAGTCTGGAACTTGAACGTGATAGAGTGAATGTGACTGAATTGTATATAACCATGCCTCTTATAGAATAACTTGAACTTTCAGATCTGTAGCTGCCAAACTCATTGCTCCTTTCTGTATCTAGGTGTATACTGCTAGTAGATATAGGTAGTACCTTACATTTGCAGTCCACTGTCAACAGTCGCGAGTGTATATCACGAAGACTCGGAGCTATAAGGGCGTCGCCGACATTATGAAAGGCGCGCGCTTTGCATCTCTTTCTACTTTTTATTAACAATTCATTGTGCATCTTATTTTACGAAGAAATTGATAGACTAAAGGAGAGAATTCCCAATATGAGTTCTTCAATGAAGATAGAAGAGGTGTGCGAGCCTTGCCCAATCATATCACGTTGTAGGATATGACTTTTTCCCGAGCGGAGTAGATTTTTCCCGCCATGCACTATTCGCCGGGACTATAGGAGACATGACCAACATTGTTACTACATTCTTGATGTCAACTCAATATTTGGAGACAGCGTCATAATATAATATATTTACAGGCAGATGGCCATAGGTCTAAGATTGTCATCGTTAGAAAGTTCAGCATCTCAAAAGGTTGGGTGAGTTGCGAACGGGAGATCCCGAAACTCGGCATGCCGTAAATCAAATCTACCATAGCACAATCACAATCCTAATATCGTTTCAAAACAAGCCATTATGCTATGTAAAACCCGTTCTCGAATGCCGGAACAAACACGATAGTCTTCCTCGCGGGCCCAACGAAGCTGTTCTAGGCTAAGCTCAACAGTAGTCCGATGGCATGTTTCTTTGCTCCGGCATTTTATCGGGATCTGGGACCGAGCTGTCCCGGTCGCCTTAGCAGACCCTCTGCGGCTTTTTGTTTAAGCCGGCCGATGTCAGTCAGAATTCATTTTTTCTCCCGTTCTCCCCAATTCCTCTTACTATTCACATCTCTTTCATTTGGATCTTCTTTCCCTGCAGACTAACATTTCGATTCTTCCAACAATCTCTGAGGGGCCGCCCACTTTGGACGATGCTCGACCAGCAATGTCCCACTGCCGTTTTCATGGACGCCCTGGCAGGCGGGCTTGCCAGTCGACATTCAAATTCCAAATTGCATATTTGAATAATATTCTATGATGCTGAACCATCACATACTCATTGATCACTATGCATATATACAGGCCCTTCCCCGACATGCCGTCTATTCTATATCCTTCTTAAGATGATCCTATCCAATGTCTTCGTCTACTGTTTGAAAAAGAAAAAAAAAACAGCCGAAACACTTTACTCATATTTGCGAACCACACCTCGAAGCAGTCACCATTACTCTTCACGCTCATTTCGACGCCATATCTTGGCCCTGGAGTGCAGGAAGATAGTCGGGATCACGCTGACAACAACGATCATGGCCGCAGCGATACCTGCACTGGGGGCGACACCGACATTCTCGAACATGGGCGAGAACCTACAAAGAGTGTTAGCGATACGGTTCCAATGGCTCAAAATATATCAACTATGAGAGATCTTACCAGAATGGGCCAATGAAACCCCAGATCTGGCGCACGAAGGTGACGAACACACCGACACTAGCGGCCTCTTGGGGGTAACAGTCTACGGCATAGGTGATCATCACCGTTGTGACCAACTGATTACCAACCGCACCGATTGCAGTGCCAATTATTGGGGACACATTCCAGTGGCCGGCGGTAGCCTCCTGCGTGCAGACCAGGAAGACAATGGTGCCGATAATGGCCAAAGCAAAGCCGAAGTAACTCAACCACAGACGGAACTCGGGGTCGGGCTTGCGATTTAAGGCACGGGCACGTCGGTTCATCCAGAAGTCGGACAAAACACCGCCCATCTGCTCGCCAATTACCGACCCAATGATAACACCCAGGAACTGGAGACCCAGCTGCTCGGCATTCAACTCGAACTTCTCTTGCAGCAGTTGAGGCACCTCGACGGTCGCTAAGACGCTACCGAACAAAAACACCATTGCATACGCACAGGCAGGGATAAGGATAGATGGATGTTTGGCCATGGTCAGGGGTCGCACGAACTCCCACCAGGTGAAGGGAGTAGGGTCAATCCGACGGAGTGACAGATACTCTGTCTTCCAGTTTGCCTCTGCGCGGTCAACACCGCTACCGATATAACGAGTCTCCGGTCCTAAGAAGAGGTACAGAATAAATTGGCCACCATTGATCTGTCCCGATCGCAAATGGTCAGCAAGGCACTAACAAAACTCCCCTCTACCCCCCAAAACAACTTACCATAGCCAGGATCCAGTAAATCCAGTTATAACCCACACGGTAGGTGACGAAGCCGAAAAGGAAGGGACCAATTGGTACACCCAAAGTGATCATCAGGGTCCAAACACCCATATAACGGGCACGATCTTTCTTGAAGGTGGTTTCCATTACGACTGCACTGCCAATGGCCGAGGCAGGAGAGATGAAAAATGCAACCAAAGCACGACAGGCGGCGACAGAGGCATAGGTGGTGCTCTTGGCACAACCGATATTGCACACCAGACTGCAGATGAGGGATAAGAGGAAGATGGGGCGACGGCCATAGCGGTTGGACAATGGCTTCCAGAACAAGGGTGCACCTCCCAGGATGGCGATTTGCAAGGAAGTCAAATAACTAGCGTTCTGGATACCGACGCCGAGCTCCCCGGCAATCTCTGAATATGCAGGGATGATGGCTGCGGCAGTGAATGTACCCATACAAGCGTGAAATGCCACCAGAATAAGATTGGTCATTTTCTACCAAGTTGTGCATCAGTAAATCGTCTTTGGCTCATTGTCCCTCCCATTTCCACCGTCGATCAATCCGGGGTATATGGTCACTCACCTTCCATTCGGGCCAATTGTAAGGGTCTGCCGGGCCCATTCCTGGAATGGGATCCAATTCCAATGTGCCATGTCGTTGGAGCAGGTAGTCACGATGGGCTTTGGGAAGTCGAGCGACTATGGAGTCACCGTAGGTGGCCACCTGGTCGGCGCCTGCACTCTCCACGAGATCGATGTCGGGCTTAGTACCCAAGTTCTCTTTGTCCTGCTCGACCTGGTCTGCCGGACGAGAGGAGGAGGGTTGCAATTCAAGGGATGTCATATTGGGGACACCCGTTAAAGGTTGAGGAGAAGGGATCGGACACGAGTGTCTTGTATGATGGATCCCTTTGAGGGCCAGAAAAATTGAGTGAAGTGAACAAGGGATCTACGAGGTCGACGACATAGGGGAGGGGGAAGAGGAAAGGTTGTTGCAAGAAACAGACTAGGGTTGTTCGGTCTGTACACGGAGTGTACCAGTTCGTTGGGCGAAGGCGAAAACCATGACAGGCGGGCTTGGCGTGCCGAAGACCGACCGGAGTGAGTGCACATAACCCACCCATAGAGAGAGAACTGGGGATGGGGATGGTCGGCTCCGGCCTCGCCTGGAGAGAGAAATGCGGAGTCTCCACGGCCCACAGGGTTCCATCCGGGTCGGCGAGTCAAAATGAAGCTGTTGCGATCCCCCCCATGTCACCACCCTTAGTTGCGGCCCATCCTGGCACTTGAGCACGGCTAGCCGATGGGGTATCACCGCTGACAGCACGGCTCGCTTGCCTACTCCAAGTACCGAGCAAAGGGTATATGGATCTCTTGGCACAAGATCCACGGCATTTTTCACTTCTCCAGATTCCGGCAAGTCAGCTAGAATCTCCTAGATTGGCTCCAAGATTCTCGCCTATCGCCATCCACTCATCAGTTCACAGGAGATTCACGGAAGGTTCAAGTTGTATAAATTATTAGCAGCACATAGTAGAGTACTCAAAAGTCAATCAAGCCGACTTGGCACCGGAAGAAGATAACTCAGCACAACACAAGCATTGTGGCACCGAAACCTTGTGCAATTCGTGCATGGACGCAAAAGTCATTTTTGGTGCCACACACCTTAGAGCCACGACCACAATCCCAACCAGACAAAAGTAGATTGGGTCAGCTGAGAAAGACCTGGCTTTCAATGATTTGATATTTTTTGACTAGCGTTATCTACAGAGTAGATACATTTGGTCAAGTGGGTTGCAACTAAGAGTACGGAGTACCTACAGAAAGGGTGCCACATCCCCACAATCGCCTTCCCCACATTCTTCTTCTTCCTCCCACATCCTTTTCCCACTCTCCCACTCTCCCCCAATTCTAAATATCCAGCCCCAGATATAACGTCTCTGTATCTATGGAGATCATGACTGTATCCCCCTCGGCCGGGGTCAAGAAATTGGCTTGTCGCGTGTGTCAGAAGGGATTTACCAAGGCTGAACATCTCCGAGTGAGTACATATATTATTACTTCATCCCCACGATTTTGAGGGGCAGCTCTTTGCGCCAAGACATCTTTTACACTCAATACTAACTCTTCTCAGAGACATGAGCGATGTCGTAAGTTCTATTTTAATCAGGGAAGAACTTTTATTCATCAAAAACCATTCTCTTCCGCTGATTCCAGTTGAATCCTTTTCGGCTGACCGGAGTACTTTAGATACTGGGGCCAAACCATATGTCTGCAAGGAATGTCGTCGTCCCTTTGCCCGACAAGATGCTCTCACCCGTCATGAGAAATTACATCAGCGGGACTTGAATGCCAAACATGGCCCGCCGTTAGCTTCGGTACCTCCGTCTGCATCTCTAGACTCTATGACCTCGTGGGATAATCGTAGTGCATCGACTGGAGGGCCTGCCTCGACGTCAGCTACCAGCCACTCGTGGGACGAATCACATTCAGCTCAGGCTTCGAGTATGCAAAATGTTGCTGCGGATCTGGACTTCGCTCTCATTTGGCCCGATTCCGAGAACCTATTCCAGAGCTTAATGTCCTCCGACACCACAGACCAATGGGAAATGCCTTTGGGAACACTACCCTTTCCACCTGTCGTACAGGATATTAATACCATGAACTTCGGGTCACCCAGCTCGTTTGACGATCGGTCCTCCTCGGTGGGGACGATCCCATCCGGTGAAGGTCACCAGGCTGTGCGTGATGTGACGGAGATGATTACTAGTTCAGTGAGTTCATAACGACGCCCCCGAGATCGACCAAAAAATCTATCGGCCAACGAACGAGCCCAATCAAGACGGTCCATTTGCTTGACCAGTACTAATCATTCCTCCGCCAGTCCTCAAGTGTCACTGCTGCGGTTAAAGCCACTTCTATAACCTCGGTATTCCTTGATGAGTGTCTCCACATGTTCTTTGTCCGATTTATTCCAACATTCCCCATCTTGCATCGTGCAACATTTGTGTTTCGGGAATGTACCCATGCTTTGCTTCTGAATGCTATTGCTATCGGGTCGTTGTATCTTGGGGCCCAGTGATTCGGTCGCAAAGGGTGAAGCGTTGTGGAGGCTAGCACATGCTGCCGTGGCGACCTCCTGGCAATCACTTATCACGCACAATGGCGCATACGATGCCTGCAAAGGGGTACAGCTCATGATCACCGCCTTGTTAGGTCAAATATACGGGGCGCTATCTAAAAATCGGGCAATCCGGACCACAAGCCAGGTCTTCCGTCCCCTGGGCTTTTTCTGGGCACGTCACTGTGGCATGTACGATAGCCAGCCATATTCTATGGAAAACTTGCCCTCGGTCGATGCTCCCCCTGCGGAGAAGGAACATCAGTGGCGGGTTTGGTCCGCACGGGAGATCCAACAGCGTGCCCTACTAGCGTACTACGTCCTCGATGGACTCGTTGCCCAGATGTCCGGCGACGGTGCGTCAGCTCGCCATGTCTCTAACCCCCTAGGCCTTCCCAGCAGCGAACCTGCTTTTGATGCCAGCACACCGGATGAATGGCTAGCACACATGCACTCGCAAAAGCTAGACCAATCCTCATTCAAAGTCATATTTCGCTCTCTCTTCCCGCCAGTCGGGAACTTCCGCCCTTTGGACTATTCATTTTCTGCCTTTGGACTTCGAGTTGTTCTTGAGGGCCTCCAGTCTTTGATATCCGATTGTGATGATCATGAGCTGGCTGTTGGTGTGCCCGGACCCTCTGATGTAAGAAGAGCTCTTGCTCAGGTCCATGAAACGATATCAATGAGCATTCATTTTTCAGCTGCTGAGCGACTGGAGCTTCTGTTACGTTGGCACACGGTTTGCCTTGACACCATGATTAATTCGACGGTTCTCTCTCGTTATGTGTGCTCTCGCTATAATATTCATCAGCATGTCTCTGGTGGGAGCCGGGATGTCCGAGCGGACTTTGACCTCATCAAATGGGTTAATAGTGAAGACGCCCGCCGTGCAGTACTTCACGCGATTGCCATTCAAGATATTGTTGAACAATTACCTCGTGGCCGTGCCCATGTGATCCACATGCCTAGCTCGCTGTTTGCAGCAGCTACAGTGTATGTCGTCTTCTCACTTGCTGGTGCAGCGACCGTCCATCTTCCTCGAACAATTGTGTGGCAAGATGCCTTGCTTTCACACTCCGATCTCAATATCGATCACGACGAAATGCGACCTCCATCGGGCTCAGAAACTCGACGGTTTGTAGAATCGGAGCAGGTGATGTCCCCTTCGCCTATCGGTGGTGCTGTTCGAAATCTTCTGTACGAGTTGAACTCGATGCAAAAGCTCTTCCGCTGCCTCTCGTCGCAGTGGGGAATTGCTCGTGATATGGAAGAAATCATTGCCCAGTGGATTCAGATTTGTCACTGAGCACTTTTTGTGCGATATCAGTTTATGCATGTATGTACACACCAAGATTGTGATGGTTAGCGTGAGATTTTGTAAATATAACGACCTCTGAAATCGGAGACATGAATTCAAGACTTCAAGTTGGAGAATAGTATCAAAATACTGTTCCTGGGCTCACTCCTTGCGCCCGGTCGTGCCTGCCTGCCTGCCTGTCTTTGGCTCTTTCCGTCCCCAAGAAGCATCCAACCCAATCCTCTTCGCCGCTGTTTGCCATTCCCCAACCCTTTACTCTCACTCTTTGTTTTCTTTACCTCTTCGAATTACGTACCACTCTGATTCTACCCTCACACTGACTGAGAAGTTTTTGATCTACACTTCACTCAACCTCTTCCGAATTCTTCTCCTGATCAAACTGACTCTACCCAAAAACAATCAACCCTTTTTCACTACTATCTCAACAGCTCTTCATCATGCGCGTGGATGACACGCGGCTGATTGCCGCACTTATCGCAGCTCATAAAGGCATGAAGGTCAGTTTTTGTCATGATCCCAGACGAAAAAGGTCGACCGGGATAATAATTGTTCTAATGTGAGGCTTAGCTTGATTACAACGCAATCGCCACAATGTATGGCGAGGGCGCGAACTACAACACAATGGAGCACAAGTTCCGTGCTTATCGCAAGGACGCCGAGGTCCTCCACGCTGAGGCCAGTGGGCGACTGGGTACGGATGCAGCCCCCTCAGCTGAGAACAGCCCTGAGAAATCTTCCGGCGCTCAAGTCACTACCCAGAAAAATGGCAAAGGCGCCAAGGCAGCTAAAGTTCCTCGCGTAAAAGCAGCCAAGGGATCAGCCAAGAAGAAGGCTCCAGCCAGTCCCCAGGACAGCGACGAGGAGGCCCAGCCCAAGCGCAAGAAGGCCAGAGCCAGTCCGAAGAAGAACCAGACATCGATGGACGAGGAGAAAGTTCACCTAGATACCAATTCTGACGCTGACGCTACACTGGATGCTTTGATTAAGACTTCTGGTGTCTATTCCGAGCTCGGATTGGACATGGAGGATCTTTAAGGAGTACATTCTACGAATGGGAACACTTGATGGGATTGTGGAATGGGAATCATCGGAGGTTCATGTTTTCGAAAGCTATGGCACATCTCCAATTATGCGTTGAATGGGATTTCAAAAATCATTCATCTGGAAAATCATGCAGGGAGGAAGTGAAGGCGTGATTTCTTTTTTTTCTTTTTTTGGTATCCAGCCTTTACATAGCCAGGGTCCTTGATTTTCATAACAAACAGTATTTTTTACTTCTCTCCTCAATTTCAGAGCTAATATTGATGTAGCGAGCGACTCACAAATGCTAAGAGGGGATTTACGTAGTTCTTCAAGTCTCGAATCCATCATGTCTCCGAGTCGTTATATTTACAAAAGCTCACGCTAACTATTCACACAATGTAAGTAACTAGGCAGTGCATTCCACCACTATCGCTCCACGCATTCCAAAAAGCCAGGACTCGGGGCATTCAAGATTGATGATATTTGACTCTGACATTTCAAACTTGATTTACGTGCCTTTCCAAATAGGCATATGCTTCCAATGCTCTATTACGATGCTAGCCCTACCGACAGGGCTCACGGTGTACAGATATTATAGACCGATAATGTGAAAAAATTGACTTGGATAATCCATACATATTACATTTGTGATTTTTACTTCGTTATCAGGACCGCCATATTCATCGCCCGGTGTCGTCGAGATCCAATCCCCAGTGGTTAGGCTTCCAAATCTGCGGCCAGTGCCGATACGGTAATCAAAACGGTGTGAGGGCACCTGATATTCGTGTTGGTTTTTCATTTAGCGATATCTTCGTATCTGAAAGGGGATTGAACTATAATCCTAGAAACCACTCGACACCTCGTAAACCGGTACATTAATATGCAACTACTCCTACTGAGGGGTTCTATTCTATCCCAGGCCACTAGATGTCAACCGGCGCAAGTGCGCACATTATACCTGAGGGCAAATTTCAATATCTGGTAAAGTGCTCAACATCTGCGGAAACTCCCGGTGGGCTTGGTCGCCTTCTAATGCCGTCGGTACTAGTCCCGATTGTCTTGACAGCACCATGACGACAATATGATACAACCAAAAACCATTGTTATGTTTCTGTGTTTCTGTGATACTATGAACATCTCAGTTGATTATTTCACAATACCCAGAAAAGCTTCTGGGCTTTTCCGCACCATCAAACTTTCCTATTGAAGAGGCTGTAATTATTGTTGCAATGTCTTCTTCAATGGGTCATCATGGGACTTTCGAAGTTCCTAAGTCGGCACAGACCCAAAATAAGCCAGGGTGAGCTTAGATTGATCATTACTCTGGTGCAAACTAACTCCTGCAGTTTGGAAAGCAAGATGGCGTCCTCCAGCGAATCTACGAAGTTGGAACACGAAGGCTCCTTTATCGAATATGCGGGCTCAAATAAGCTAGAAGATAAGAAAGTTCTTGTCACTGGAGGAGAGTATGTATTAGCCCTCATGGAAAAGCTTCATTATTGGAATAACATAGGAGAGCCTAGTTCGGGTATTGGTAGATCTATTGCGGTTTTTATGGCCAGAGAGGGTGCAGATATCAGTCTCGTCTATTTGCCCAAAGAGCAAGGCGATGCCGAGGCTACCAAAAAGATGATTGAGAAGGACGGCAGACAATGTCTTCTCCTACCGGAGGACTTGAGAGATCGCGATTTCTGTCATTCGTCAGTAGAAGAACATGTTAAACGGTGGGTTCCCATTCTCCTCTTCTCAAATGCGGTAAAGTAGCCTGATATTTTTCGACGCAGGTTCGGCAAGCTCAACGTCCTTGTGAATAATGCATCTAAACAGTATATTACCCAGGAGTTTCCAGACATCGACTTGGACAGAACAGAGGATATATTCATGTGCAACATTATTCAGATGATTGCGATGGCAAAATTTGCTCTCGTCCATATGTCTCGCGGTGACTCGTATGTTGAAAGATCCCCGATTCTATACCTACACCCTTGCCTACTAATCATCCTGATCAGTATCATCAACACGTCCTCTGTCGTGACATTCCGGGGATCGGGTACTATGGTAGACTACTCTGCTACAAAGGGGCCAATAGTCGGCTTCACAAAATCTCTAGCAAAATATCTTATTCCGAAAGGAATACGCGTCAACGCTGTGGCGTAAGTTACACTCTCATGATGTTTTGACAATCAAATTAACTCATGGTACCTTCGGAAACAGCCCAGGCGCTATATATACGCCTATACAAGCCGATACGCGCGATGCTAGGCAGATGGAAGGCTGGGGACGGGGTGCTGGGCTCGGTCGGCCAGGGGAGCCCAGCGAGGTTGCGACGTGCTTTGTGTTTTTGGCCAGTGCTGATGCGTCACTATATTGTAAGTGTTAAGTACCGAGAAAATCAGACTCGTACTCGAAGCTAAGTTTTCAATTCTGCTTAGATAGATGGTCAGGTGCTGCATTGCTACCCGCTCGGGGACTGAAGTCGCGCGTGGTGCACTTTCTTTTATACGCGAAACATGCCCTTCGGTGCCCGCCTCTTGGCGATCGCGCGTCCAGAGTCTGCGGAAGTAGAAAAAATGTCTGATAGTTGGCAAAGAAATCATAGTGCAATTAATTGATATCCTAAAATCAGTACACAAGCCAGGGTTTGGCTCCCTTCAATGCTTTGTCCCATCCTCCTTCGTTCTGCCAGATAGCGATGCTTTCCACCTCATCCCTACCCAACTTCAGCCCGTTGTAGAGATGCTGTTTGAGAATAAGCAAGTGTCTTTTTTTTTCCTTTTCCAATGTGCTAAGTTATTACTAAAACAAGAGCCACTTACGGGAAACAACCCCTCGCCCGGCCGAGGACCACATACTTTGCCGTCGGGAGACTCCCAGCGGATATCCGAGATCACCGTGCCATACTCGATGCGTAGGATGTACACGAGTGGCTCTTCTTTGAAAAATATGTTCAGAGTATTGGCGACTTGGTGTGCCATCGACAGGTGCACAAAGCCATCGTTCTGATCTAGCTCGCTAACGGGAAGCCGCTCAGGGAGGGGCTCCCGTACTCGGAGAGGAGGACGGAACGATCTTGTAGATATAGCGAGGCTGGGTATCTAGAGTCGCCATGGCGAAAGGCGATGAGATGAAAGAAAGATGGGGTAAGAGAGGGAGGTGGGATTTTTGGACAGGTCCATGTCATTGTCGCGTTTGTTCGCTCTGGCGGGGTTAAGCGGTCGGCTGGCAGCGCTTGAATCACGCACTTCGGGAGCGGGAGAGCGGGTCATCTACTATGGTTTAACCATGGGAATTTTGAAGTAGGAAAGCTTGAACTGCCCAGGCGTTGAAATGATTCACTCTGGGTGTGTATTTCATATATTTATGATGCTTACTACGAGTATTTAGTATGAGTAGGATCATGGATGCAGGATATCCAGACCCAGCGTAATCTATAGTGCTCAGGTGGGGAACCAGATCGGACCCAGTGTCCCCATTTATTAGTACCTATCGCAGGATTGCTATATAGATCATGGTTTTGGTAACGAACATACAGTCACATGCGCGAACTTGAAGTCATATTGAGATCAGATATCCGGTGGAGTCAACAATAACGAGTACTAGTAGTAGTACTGTCGTGATTCCCTGAGATGCTGCTAATGTGATGGTTGCACGGGACTACCGCAGCCCAAGATCTGCCGAATATATGCCTAGGTACCTACCAGCAAAGGTTGCTAGAATTGCCATTCTATTGCACTTATTTAGCTTTTGGGACGCTATGGGATAATAGGGCATCCAACGATTCTCTCTTTGTGCCTCAATAATCAAAATCAAAATCAAAACTCAGAAGACTTGTCTGGATTGTAAATTGGTGAGTTGTTCAGTCAGACAATAAGCCATTCACGTGACCCTTGTTGAGGATCTCCCATGGCCCCATCACCTGATCGAACTAATCTAAATCGGGAGATTTGTTTTGGGCCCGTCCGCTTTGGGCTGGGGAATCCTGGTCGGACCTGCCCTGTTGCCGTGCCTGCCCTCTCCCCCCCCACTGTCAACAGACGAATTCCATCATCGGAGGGTCTCGCGGCTCGGCTTTCCGATTCTCTCTCTGGTGGACCATACTCAACACTTTCCCCTCCTTCTCCTCCTTCAACTCCCAGAGATCTGTTTCACCCGTGTCACCCTTACCAATGCGCATTCGCGTTTGATCGCACATCCCGACCGCCTTCGCCCAGAAAACCAGGATTCTGACACCAACTGCATCGACAACCTCTTCACTGCTGCCATTGAAGCAGGCATGCGGTCTTTCGAGTCTTACGGTCGTCCTTCGGTTTTCGCATTTTCTTCGCGACGGTACTAGTGATGTCGACTCAATTCCCATCGTTCAGACGCGCCCAGACGGATATTCCCGCGCAGCCAGCAGGCTCACTGCGACACACGGGTTCAACTGCGTCCACCAACTCGTCTGCCTACTCTGTTGCGTCAAGCTCCTTCGCGCCGAGCCGGACAAGCACAGTCTCCTCGAATGCATCGATACCGGGGAGCCTAGGTCATCATCGAGGCAAGAGTGAAGCTGGGCCCGCTACAATGGATTCGTCTGAAAAGGGAAGCTTCTCAAATGCTGGGTCCACATATGAAAACATTCGCCGGTCTCTGCGGCCCCTTCAGCAGGCGCCTCAAACCTCCCCCCTCCACGAATAAGCCCATTGCATATCGACATTCCCGCAGCAATACTCTCGATGAGCCTCAGTTCTTGAAGGATCATCGACCAAGCACACCAGAATCCCATAATTTGAATTTCAAGGAAAATGAATCGCCTCGCTACAGAGCAGCAGCATTTGAACCCCAAACACCCCCGCCCAGACCTTCATCACGCCATTGGTCGCCCACTCCAACACCGGGTTCACCTCGACCTTCATCACCTCAAAAGACCTTGTCAAATAGTCCTCATCCACCTCCGCTGACTACCGCATTATCAACACCCGATCTCGAAACATTCCAGAAGTCTTCTACCCGCCATCTCAGAACTCTCTCCAAGTTCGCGCAATCCGGTGAAAGCGATGATTTCCAGTTCAACTCCGGAACAGCTTCTGTCGTGGGACTATCAGGAAGACGAAGATTGAAACGCGCTGACTCAGTTGCTGGAAGGAGTGGCGCCATTTCTCCAGAGAAGCCCAAGACTTCTTCATGGGCAGCAGGGAACTGGATGGACGCGCAACGTCAATTTATACAAGCCTACGAGTATCTCTGCCACATCGGTGAAGCTAAGCAGTGGATCGAAGATGTTATCCAAAAGCAAATTCCGCCAATCGTTAATCTAGAGGAAGGATTGCGTGACGGCGTGACGCTCGCTGAGTTGGTGCAAGCCATGTATCCAGACACGACCCTGCGAATCTTTCGAAACCCGAAGCTGCAATACCGCCATTCCGACAACATCGCCCTATTCTTTCGCTTCCTGGATGACATTGAATTACCCGAGCTGTTCAGATTCGAGTTGATCGATTTGTACGAGAAGAAGAACATCCCGAAGGTCATTCATTGTATTCACGCATTGTCATGGTTGTTGTTCAAGAATGGTATGTTGGACTTCCGCATGGGCAACTTGGTTGGGCAGCTTGAGTTCGAGCATCATGAGCTCGAAAAAACACAGAAGGGTCTTGACAAGGCCGGTGTCAGCATGCCCAGCTTTGCAGGTATGGCCGCAAACTTCGGCGCTGAGCCTGAGCCGGAACCGGAACCTGTGGAGTCAGAGGAAGAGCGGATTGATCGTGAGCTGCACGAAAGTGAAGGTGCGATAGTCGAGTTCCAGTCTCAGATAAGAGGCGCAATGGTGCGCTTGAAGCTTGGAAATACGATGAATGATCTTCGGGACTTTGAGCCCCTCTTGATCGAACTACAGTCCCGCCTGCGTGGAGATTGGGCGCGGCAAATTAGTCAATATCGACTCGACATGCGTCGGTTTGCAGTTCAGCTTCAAGCAATCAGTCGCGGCTTTATTGTCCGTCACCGCCAGCAAGGGGAGAACCAATGGCGAAAAGCCCAAGAGCAGCAAGTTCTGCAGCTGCAAAGCCTGATTCGCGCGTCCAAAGTACGAGCTGAAACCAATCTGCTTCAGACTCGTATCCGACGCGAAGAATCTGGAATCAAGAATTTCCAAGCCGCGATTCGGGCTGCACTACAACGAAAGGCACTGGCCGACCAGTATGAACAAACTCATCACGCCGAACATGATGTTACGACCCTCCAAGCAGCCATCCGTGGCGCCATGCAGCGAAAACGAGCCAATGCACAGTCTCAAGAAGTCAAGCAGGCTAGTACAGCTATCAAATCACTGCAGGCAGTGATTCGCGGTCAGTTTGCCCGTCAGCACTTGTCACAAGTCAAGTCGTCTCTCCAGCATGAGACTGCAAAAATCACAGAGCTTCAAGCTGCTATAAGAGCCACGAAGACAAGAAATCACCAGTCACAGCTCCTGCAGAATCTTTCAAAGACGGCGGGTGGTTGCACAGAACTTCAGGCTCTGATCCGAGGAGCTGCCACGAGAAGGAGCCACGAAGCCCTTACTACGGAGCTCATGCAGCATGCTTCGTCAGCCACCGACTTGCAAGCCCAAATTAGGGGCAATGCATTAAGGCTGTCCTTACAAGACCAGCAAGCCGCTTTAACGAAGGAAGAACCAGTTATCTTAGAGCTCCAGTCTCGAGCACGAGCGGTGATTGAGCGTCAGCGCTTGAAGGCTGAACGCGAGGCTCTTCGAAGACAAGAGCCTCTCATTGTGAACCTCCAAGCACTTGCTCGCGCGGCTATACTCCGAATTGAAGTTGGCGATATTCTTACGCGACTAGAAGAGCGCGAAGAAGAAATTGAGCAGCTTCAGGCGCTGGCAAGAGCGATGGTGGCTCGTGTTCAGGTCGGAAATATGCTAGCGGACCTTGAAGATCAAGAAGAAATCATCGTCGATTTTCAATCTCGCATTCGGGGAATGATCATTCGAAATCGTTTCCAGGAGAGACGACGCCACTACAACGAGAACATGGAGAAGGTCATCAAGGCTCAGAGTGTTATCAGAGGTCGTATCCAGGGTCAGGCTTACAAGAGCTTGACAAGCGGCAAAAATCCTCCTGTAGGAACAGTCAAAGGTTTCGTGCATCTACTCAATGACAGTGACTTTGACTTTGACGAGGAGATTGAGTTCGAACGACTGAGAAAGGTGGTGGTCCAACAAGTGCGACAGAATGAGATGGCGGAGCAATATATCAGCCAATTGGATATCAAGATTGCGCTGCTGGTCAAGAATAAAATCACGCTTGATGAAGTCGTGAAGCACCAGAAACATTTCGGCGGTCACATCGGAAACCTTCTATCCAACACCGAAATTTCCTCAAAAGATCCTTACGACCTCAAGGCTTTGAACAAGACATCCAGAAAGAAGTTGGATCAATACCAAGTCTTCTTCTTTCTTCTCCAAACACAGCCGCAGTATCTGGCCCGCCTTTTCCGCCGACTTCGTGAGATCAATACTTCGGACAAGGAGTACGAAAGAGTCCGGCACTTGATGATGGGCCTCTTTGGCTACTCCCAGAAGCGCCGTGAAGAGTATTACCTTCTCAAGCTACTCTCTCGATCCGCCAAGGAAGATATTGAAAACTTTGCGGCCCTTCCAGAATATATGCGCTCCACTCCCTTCTGGAATAAGCTCTTCGGTTCATACGCAAAATCACCTCGAGATCGGAAGTTTATGCGCGATGTTCTGGGGCGCGTTGTACGGGAATCTGTCATTGAAAACCCAGACCTCGACCTCGAGAGCGACCCAATCCAGATCTATCGCTCATCAATCAACAATGAAGAGCTTCAAACAGGACAGCGTAGCAGAAGAGAACCAAATCTTCCCCGCGAGGAAGCTATTCGAGATCCCGAGACCCGCGAGACCTTCATTCAACACTTGCAGGATCTCCGAGACATCGCCGATCAATTCTTCGCTGCATTCGAAGATTTTCTATATCACATGCCCTTTGGTGTCAGATACCTTGCACAGCAAATGTATGAAAACCTCCTTGCACGGTTCCCTAATGAGGATCCTGGATTCATTCTTCAAACCGTTGGGCACTGGGTGTGGAAGAACTATTTCCAGCCTGCGGTGCTTGAACCTGAGAAGTACAGTGTGGTTGACCGGGGTCTGACCCAAGAGCAAAAGAGGAATTTGAGTGAGATATCCAAGGTGGTCGCCCAGGTCGCTTCGGGAAGGCTCTTTGGAGCCGAGAACGTCTATCTACAACCACTCAACTCTTATATAGGCGAGTCAATACAGCGACTTGGTCGGATTTGGGGTCAGAGTAAGTTGCCGCTATTCCCGCTGTCCAGGTTTCTATTTAGCTAACTGAAAGCAGTGATTTCCGTCCAGGATGCCGAGTCATACTTTGACATCGATGAGTTCAATGACCTTTACGCGAAGGCCAAACCCACCCTGTATATCAAGATGTCCGATATTTTCTCGATCCACCAGCTTGTAGCCTCGGAGATTGACCCCATCTGCCCACATCCTGACGACATCCTCAAACAACTCATCCGAGACCTCGGCAATGTTAAGAGCAACGAAAACGAGTTGATGGGCGTCAGCACCACTGAGATAAATCTCACGTTAAACCCTAAACTAGCCCAAGTTGAAGGTATGAATACCAACCCGCTGTCATTACCTCCATCACTTAGCTAACTATCATCGCAGACCCGGAAGCGAATATCAAGGCATTGTTTATGGAGACGAAACGATGTATTTTGTACATTATTCGGGTCCAAACTGGCGCCAATCTGATGGATATCATGCTCAAACAGCCAAGCCCGGAGGATGAAGAACGCTGGCACACCCTCGTACGGGACGAAATAAACACGAATAGTCCTCGCCGGGGGGCCTATTCTGAGGCGAGTACATTGATCGATATCGGATCGATGGGCTACTCCGAGCTCAAAGGCACCGCTCTCGAAAACATTCTTCGCCTCGAGCAGGCTGGCAAGATCAGTCGGCACAATCACTACCAAGATCTTCTCAACGCCATCGCAATCGACATTCGCACAAAACACCGCCGGCGAGTGCAACGAGAGCGTGAGCTGGAAGGGGCGCGCCTGACCTCCACGCGTCTTAGCGATCAGGCAGTCTACCTTGATCAGCAGCTCAAAACCTACAACGACTACATTGAACAAGCGATGATCACATTGCAAAACAAAAAAGGAAAGAAGCGATTCTTAATGCCGTTCACCAAGCAATGGGATCATCAGCGAGAGTTGCAGAAATCTGGCAAGGTGTTCAAGTTTGGATCATACAAGTATTCAGCTCGCACCCTGGCGGATCGAGGTGTTCTTGTTTCATGGAAGGGCTACAACGAACGTCAATACGATCGAGTGGACTTGACGATCTCCAGTAACGAAGTTGGTGTGTTCACTATTGATGGAAGTAGTGGAAACATGATGGTACCGGGTGCCAATGCTCAAGTTCCACTGGATGACCTGCTGCAGGCACAGTTCAATAACACCCAGTTCATGGACTTCTTCGACGGACAGATGCGGGTCAATGTCAACCTCTTCTTGCACTTGATCATGAAGAAATTCTATAATGAATAGAGATCGGGTCCAAGTTATGAAGTATGAGCTGGATGGGTATTTTTAGCGACGTTTTTCTATTTCTTTTCTCTTTTTCACTTCACGTCTTTTTTCTCTTGTTACAGATACCTAGGTATTTGTTTGGACTTCATAGCGATAGCGTCTCGGTTTTACGAGCACCCAAATGACATGTATACAATATGAATAATATCACTAGTCTCCCTGTAATTTTTTTGGAATTCCTCACCTATGACGACGAGGTGGCCAACAAATGCTGCCCAAGGCATTGGTGTATACATCAGGGGCTCACTGCACGTGACCGTATGGCGCGTGGAATCGGCCAGCTGGAGACCGGGCCCGGGGAGCATCTCCCCCTCCAACCTCTCGACCCCAACACTCAATCTCGGCGGGCGTGGATCGCTTCTTGCTTTCTGGATATCAATTACTCGACAGGCTTGATTGCCCTTGCCTAGCGATTCTTCAATTTTCCGTTGCGCCTAAGCCCGACTGGCTAGTCACCCCTCGTCATGGACATGAACAGCATCAAAGACCAGGTCAGCAACCTTACGTTGTATGACCTGAAAGCGGGTGTTCGCAAGGTGCAAAATGGTACGTCAACATTGTTTCTAGTCCTGCCCAGGCAATTGAAAGACCCTGCTTTGTTTCATATTTCCGAGAAACTGCGCTGACCGCTCTGCCATAGCCGTCATGAACTATACCGAGATGGAATCCAAGGTTCGTACGATCACCAAACCCTTCGCGCATCAATACCTTTGCCAAAAATACAAGAAATCGATGCTTTTCTTCCATCAAACAGCGACTTATTCATGCCGATCAGGTCCGGGAAGCTACAAACAATGAGCCATGGGGTGCTTCGACAACGTTGATGCAGGAGATTGCCAATGGAACTAACAGCTAGTCAGTCGCACCTATCTCGACTCTTTGTTATATTCTGGCGCATATTCTGATTTCTTTCCCTAGTCAATTGCTCAACGAAATCATGCCTCTGATTTACAAACGTTTCACCGATAAGGCCGCCGAGGAGTGGCGGCAAATTTACAAGGTTCGAGGCCAACGGTGATATCACGAATATACACTCGAGAACCATGGAGCTGACAGTTTTGCGATCCCTAGAGTCTCCAGCTTCTCGAATTCCTTGTCAAGAATGGATCGGAGCGGGTGGTTGACGACGCGAGATCTCACATGTCCCTCCTGCGGATGCTCCGGCAATTTCACTTTATCGATGTGAATGGAAAGGATCAGGGAATCAATGTGCGTAACCGCTCTTCTGAGCTGGTCAAGTTGCTGGGCGACGTTGACCAGATCCGGACCGAGCGCAAGAAGGCGCGCAGCAACAGGAACAAGTTCAGCGGTTTCGAGGGTGGTATGAATGTCAGTGGAATGAATAGCGCCAGCTCCGGTCGTTATGGTGGATTTGGAAGTGACAGCGGTATGGGATACGGCGGTTACAGCGGAGGTGTCTACGGTGATGGCGGAGGATTCGGCGGCGCATCCGGTGGTGGTGACTTCCAAGAGCCCAGCAGCGGTAGTGCCCGACGGGGCAATCGATTTGATGAGTACGATGAGTATGATGAGGGAGACGTCAGCCCGCCACGTCGTGAAGCCCCGCCTGCAGCGAAGCGGGAGCCCAAGAAGCCCGAGCCGGCACCAGTAGCAGACCTGTTTGACTTCGGTGACGATGAGCCTGTGGCCCCTGCTGCGCCCGCGTCGAATGCGGCTGGCAAGCAGCCTGCTAGCAGTGGATTGAACATGTTGGACTCGGCACCTATCGACGACGACGACTTCGACGACTTCCAGTCCGCAACACCAGCTACCCAAGCCCCTGTGCAAACCTCAACCCAATTCGGGATCCCACCTCCTGCTTCCACCGGCAGCACGACCTCCAACACTGAATTCGTTGCACCCAAACCAGTGTCTGCCTCGCAGGGCGCCAACATCAATGGCCTAGTTGGCTTCACTACTCCTACTTCTACCGGCGGCTCCTTTGCCTCCCCTCCCCTGCAGGCCACGGCTAGCCAGCAAAAGCCCATGGCCCCGAAGCCAACGGGCTTCCAAGCTGCTACCCCCAACTACTTCACTTCTGTTGCGACTGGTTCTCCGAAGCCATTTGCCTCGCAGGCAAATCCCTCCATTTCAGGTGTGACTCCCTCGGCTGCCGGCAACAAGCCCGCAGCTGGCACTGCCTCCAAACCTTCCGGTGACGCCTTCGGTTCTCTTTGGTCTACCGCCAGCGCCAGCGCTGGTATTGCCAAGTCCAACGCCGGCGCCAACAAGGGCCCCAACCTGGCCAGCATGGCCAAAGAGAAGGCTAGTGCTGGCATCTGGGGTGCTCCAGCTTCCAACTCCGCCTCCCCTGCACCCTCGCAGCCCCAGCAAAAGCAGAGTGGCTCTGCATTCGATGACCTGCTCGGTTGATTTTACTCGGCCATCATGGCATTTCTCATCCTCCCCATTTGTTTTTTAATGGAGCATATCGATTTCATAATTTCGAATTCCATTGTCTCTACGCTACCCCTTTTTGTATTGTGTCCTCGCACCCCCTCTATCTCTGCTGTTGGTTTATTGGACTATCTACCGCTCTTGTAGAGCAGTTCCGGTTCCGAAAACGTCCTTCTTGTCTCCGTTTTTTCCTTGCAAAAAGAGAATCTTGATTTGTTAGTAAACCGTATCTAGCTTACGTATAGTATATCCTTCACGACGTCCTGAAGTCAATTTCAGTTCTTCCTTTCCTCTCCATAACCAGTTGGTATACGAGAAAGACCTGGTATGCTGCAAATAGAAACGCGCAGTTGAATATAAGCCTACGCTTTGAGGCATCCCATGGCAGGGCAAGCTTGTCAATTCGAAAGCCTCATTGGCGCTTGTAGAGGCAGGCCACGGGATACTTGAGTGATGTATCGACGCCTATTTGATCTAAAAGAGTAGGAGGAGATCTGAAAGAGTTAAATAGGAATTACGCTGATGCTAATTGATGCAAAACAACGCCTATGCTGAAGAAAGCTAAATACAAGAAGGGGGTGTCGAAGAGGTAGCAGGCAATTGTAAAAAAACACGACGGTTGGGGAGGGGATGGGGTGGAGAACTTAGAGACATGGATAGGAGATATCAGTCCCTTTCCTTTTGGGCCTCGTTCTCGGTCAGGGTTATATTGGATATAAATGGTAATTCGTGGATGGGATATCAAGCGTATCAAGGGCGAGGGTCATTCATTATTCGATGAATTGGTAGGGGTTGTGGAGGGGGCGAACGAGGAGAACTGAACCAAAAGAAGACCAGTCACAGTCCCTTGAGAGCAATTGGTTCAAGACTTATTTCTCCCACGCGGTCATGGGTGAACGGCCGGCATGGAGTGAACGCTGTGCATTCTTCTGGCTTGCGTTTTCATCAATAAGATGCAATGCGGAATGGTGACAAGGCAATGGATTTTCTTGCAAGGTACCTTGGTCCAACATGTCGATGCGAGTGAGAATCTTGATAAAGGATCAAACTCAATCAAAATGTAGCTCCTAGAAGACCATGATGAAACTGGCCATGTAGATGTTCGATGGCCCAAGCTTCTGGCTAAGTGGAGCCAAAGATGAGAACTGACCAGGCGTTTTCAGGTTTTCGCTAGCAAGCTGGAACGATTGCCCCCACTAGATGTCTTAGATCCCGGAACGGGAACAGAATCGGGTTCGTCGACAGAAATTGTCAGATGGGAGTTGCCATTTGTGCCAGAGTTATCATTCTGCGTAGGAGTAGAGTGGCCAGTGTTGACAGGCGTGGAATCATGACTATCGTCACTTGTCTCCATGCTCAGAGTTGCACTGGTGTCCGAAATATCTGGGCCAGGCTCCCCATTCAAAGAAGTCAACCCCCCCTTCGATATCACGAAGCAGTCGCACGAACTCTTCTGGTACAAGTCCATTCTCTCCGGTCTTTGGGTCTTCCGCAACGAGCCAGCCTTGGCCGTGTCGGTATGAAACGTAGATCACCTGGCCCTCTGTTAGGGGAAGCTCATTCTCATGCTCGCGCGTGAAATCGAAAAGCGCAACCGCTTTGCCGTGCATTTCTTCATCGGGGCAGCCAACAGCAAATTGGTAATCATTCGAATACCGACTAACCCCGGTATTTCCTTCCTCAGGTGTAAATCCAGTTTCCGGGACATATCCTTGCTGGCCACCAGCATGGTATGAATGCCGTCCTTGACTAGCAGGGTATGTGATATACTCCCCGCCAGGCCCATTTTCCATTGAATCACTGTTGTTCGCATAATACGTTTCACTACCGTCGGAATTTATACCAACGTAGGTACCGCGATCTCGTTCCGTTGCGGTGATTTGTTCGTCACCGTTCGAGTCGATACTAGTAGACTTTTGACGCTGACGCGAGGTGGTGACGACCGGGCTGTGAAGGTCTTCATCCTCACTGTATGGGGGTCCATCGCCGAATGACATGGCCGGAAGTTGCTGTTGTTGGCCCTGACTCTGACCCTGACCCTGACCCTGGTTGTTCTCTGTGCTCCACGGGCCCGATGACCATGGACCTCTCGAGGTGTCCCACGAACTTGGGGGGTCTGACAAGCGACGGTATTCGCTCGCAGGCGTCGAGACGCCCGAGGCATGAGGAGGAGGAGGTCCATAATGTAGTGGGTGGATAGGCGGGTAGGCAAAGTCTCGCACCAGAGCGTAGGGAAGACTGGTATGAAAGATGGGGAACACGTGGGAGCCTGGGCGTGAGCGGTTCTGGGATGTGAAGGAGAGATTCGAGTAGGTCGACAATCGATCCTTTGCACTTGGCGATGGTTTTACTGATTCATTGGTGAGAATTGGCGGGAGGACCTGGAGGTTGCTCCCAGAGGAGTTGGCAGGCGCCGGGGACGACATCGCGCGACAGCCAGAGTCCACAAGTTGGACGAGGTGGATAGATGGGGGGAGAGATCGGTTCAAGGCTAGCAAGGGATGCGTGGGGTGTTCATCGGTCGCGCTTGAACTCTATTTTTGCATTGCGATTGATGGCGCGCCAACCGTGTCCCACTTTGCGATTGTAGATGTAGCGATGGGAAGCGAAAGGTCGAGTCAACCGTGGATTTTGTAGTAGCGTGAAATCGATTTGATCCCTATAGAGATATCGATCGCAGTCGCGGCAGATTTCGAGTTGTCTGTATGAAGGGATCCAATGGGATGTGGGTGAGATCCCCCAACGTGGGAGAGAGTTCGGGAATCGGCAACCTCGCGAGGAGGGGGAAGGTCGAGGAGGAGGGGGGGGGGAATGGAGGTCGGACAGGAGGGCCGAGGTTTGGGACCAGGGATGTAACAAAGTATTGAGCTTTTTGGGGTAGTGATGATGGATCCGATCAGAGATCCAGCGTCAAGCGCGAAAGGGGGGTGAAGGGAGGGCTGTTGTTGCAGTTCCAGGCGTTGTCCCGCAGTTGGTCGAAGTACTGCTAAATATAGCAGAAACTGCACGGCAATTGTCAGATATAGAATGCAACCTGGGCACGGCGCTTATGCGGCAAACAAGCAGACTAGTAGGGGCAGGAGAATCGGAGGGGTTGGTCGCAACAAGCAGGTCGAGCACCAGGGGAAAGGGGGGAGCTCTCTCCTCTTTTTTTGCCCACTAGAGGGAGGATGCGTCTGGGAATCGGGGGCCATACCTCACAAGATCCCCTCAGGATAGATGATAAGCGCGGGCAGAAGTGGCGGGGGGGGGGGGAGGGATTGTGGCGTTTCTTGCAGAAAGAGTATATCGGGATAGAAAGAGACCGGCGCGCGAGTAGGAGACGAGACAACCGAGATATCTGGATTTTGGGGCTCTCTTTCTCTCTATCCTGCCCTCATTTGACGCACTTGAGAGACTCGGGGAACTCCTGTGTGAATTGCTTCGAAGATCACGTGTGTTTCAGATCGGGCCCATTCCCGTTTTAGATCGTCCCCTCCGATTTAGGACCGCTCTAACACTACAACTACAACTTCTACAGTAACATATCATATCGACTTGGGATATCCTGATATTCGGATGTTCTATTGGACTGCAAATCCTGGGTATTTGTTTCACACTTTCACTTCTTCCACTTCCACTTCCTTCATTACGAAGGGAGACTATCCACTACCTTGACTTCGGGGTTTCACTCGATTGATCCGCGTCAACAGTCACTGTTGTATCCTGAGACACTGTCACCGTTTTGCCAACGGTATGCCACGCGGTCACCGTGGCCTTCTTGGCATTCGCACTGGATGTTACGGCAGATGACGCGCCTGCTGCGGCCGGAGCCTCCGTGGATTGCTGATCTGAAAGCTTATCGAATTCCGACGGAATGGCCGCCTCGTTCAAATCCTGGCCCTCTGCATACTCGTCATTCGCTTTCTGCTTGTTTGCCGATGTGCCTTGCACATTCACGTCCATACAGGTGGTGTAGATCTCCGTCTTTCCCTGTGGGTATGTTGGATCGGCACCTGGGGCGGTGGGCCAGTCCCACACCCAGTAGAGGGTATACAACTTGCCGGATGGGGCAGTCGTGGGTAGTTGGATGTCTTGCTGGCACCAAAGGTCGGCTCCTGTCAGCTGGCTGGCTTCATGTGTGTACTCCTTTTGGCGGGTCTCCGAGATATCACCGCCGTTGACTTGATAACAACGACCGTCGTCGAAATTCTGGGTAGACAGGAGCACACCTCGACCGTCTCCTCCAGTGCCATCCGCAGTCCAAGCTCCATACACATCCAATAACTTCTCGCCAACCTTTGGCTGTGTCGTGCCATAAACGTAAACCGTGCCACGGTTCTTTGGCTTTCCAGGTTGATTCTGGGGCAGAGTGACATGTCCATTCTCTTGGTATCGAAGTGCGATTGCGGCCCCAGCGCTGGCCTGCAGCCGCGGGCTCCCATCGGACTGGGACTGGTCTTGTTGAGTACCCTTGCAAAGCTTATCGCTAGGTAAAAGCTGGGTCACGTTGCTCCGGGTGCTGGGTGGAAGCAGGTAGGTCATTGTGGTGTCGCTAAAGCCAGATGCCGTGCGAGGATAGTTTCCTCGGGCATAGCCTGGAGTGCCGATGAATGTTCCATTTGGTGCGATGACAGTAAGCTGTTCCACCCAAGAATGTGCTTCGGCGTTTGTTATGAGGGCGAGAAGAGTTGCCAATGCTGGAAGAAACATTTTGTCGAGTTCAAAGAGATCGTTGCTATGAAGAGGTAAATGTTGTCGTATCAAAGGTTTCCACGGTTTTGTATTTCTGTATAGCACCGTCCTGCGGTGCTGTCTTCAATTTGGCTCTTGTGGTATGTGGTATTTCGGGTCGATGCAAGAAGGAAGAAAAGAGGTTTTCGTTGCGACGACGTATATGTTGCGATAGGCAAGGGAGTTGCCTTGACCAGGGGAGTCACTGCTAGTATTTGTACTAGGACAGTGAATGACGAGACAAAATGAAGGAGGGGACCAGTAGGCATTCACACGACACCATGGTGATACTTGGGCAACAAAGCGGGCAATAGAGGAAAGACCAAACAGATTGTTTCAGGGTCGTATTGTCCCAAGATAGCGGGCCTCGAAATGAGAACAAAGAAACCTCACAATGAAGACAAATGAAATAGCCGGCTTTCATCTCATGCCTTCCCGTCCATGGGACCCTGTTCCAAATATATGGACGACCGCCATGGCATGGGAGGCTAGGTCATGCCTAATTGGCGACAAAACCAAAAGAATAATATACTATGAGACTATTTCGATGTCACTGCTGAAACGATGAAGCTCCACTACTATCCATACCTCATGGTGCTAAGTGCCGAAGAAACAGAGGCTTAGGGTGGGTTGGTTGGACGAGACAGTTGGAAAAACGACGGAGCTTGCTTCAGGAGGTAAAGAAATGGAGATAAATCTGGCCCTGAGACCTTCCCGCTTCTCCTGGCGCTTAGAAAGATTGACAGAGGTAGCACTAGAGCCTCTCCCACCGTGCGCGTCCATTGGCGCTCGGGGATGAGTTAGCGCCTCATGAATCTGCATGTTCTGCATTTAGAACATGGGGGAACCTGCAACTGCTTAACATCTTGGCATTCTAACCCTTTGAAGCTATGTTCTTCAAGAGCGAGCCACACTCACGTGAAGAGGTGAAGAGTTGAAGTGCCTGAAATCACAATGGTGTTACTAACTCTACTACTAGTAGTATGTCTATACTTTTTTTGGTTCTAGAACAAGCTTAGAGTTGACAGTATGCAGTGCATGCATAGGGTTTGGAGTTGGTCAAAGTACATTTCCAGTTTTTGTTATTTTTCTTTCACGAGAACTGAATCAATACAATCCAAATAATCGACTCTAGATCAGGTGTAAAGCTCTTATGTACGTGGGATGCACAGACCGATGTGGCACCTACCACTGGCATATGTACATGCACTCGTAGTAGGGCTATGTGAGGGGCATGCATGCACTGGGCTCCAAATTATCATTTGTCGATATTTCAGAGATTACTGCATCTTCGGCTTTTACTCTTCTCGGAATATTCCAGCCTTCCAAGCCGTCCAGCGAGAGCTAAACAGCAAGTGGTCTCCTCCGAGTGCGGACTTTGCATCTTATCTTGATGGAAATTTCCCCATCGTACCCTTGGCAGTCTCGGTAACCGAGTCCTATTGTGGATAGAAGTCGCGGGGCCTGCCAAAATATGCGGCGGTGATTTGGCTTGAGTTATCTGATTTTTATCTGATTTCTCCGTGCGCTCCACCGGGTGGATTCCCGACCGGTCTACGAGAAACAAGGTCGAATTGGGGTCACCAGGCGGAGACTTTCGGAAAGGATGCATCATGGCTGTGAGCATGCCGGTTGAACCGAGCCATCGGCATAAGCTGACATGGCGAGCGAAGCGACAGTACGAGTATTGAAGGCAGGGTTTGCAGCTGGGGGACGCCCTGTGTGGCGTATATGGCACCTGCACCCAAGCAACCCTGGACGAGCGAAGATAAGTGGAGTTGGATCGACTGTCGGCACCCGAGTTGAACCCACACAAGTGAGTCGCGTATTTCCGACACTTTTTCTTCAATTCAAGAATTGACGGATGTGCTCCGAAGGAGCGGGAACAAAGGTCCAATTCATTACCAGGTTGAGGGCACTCTACCTTAGGGTAGGCCTGATTTACGTCGATACCAACCGATCGGGTAGGACACTTAGTAGGGTCCCGGGGGGGGGGGGGGGGTATCACCCTGCTACTTTAGGGCGAGCCGGAGGCATACATGCAGTAGTGTGGTACATTTTGACCATCTTTTCACCTACTCAGATCGTAGGGGGCTACTTCCCTTTCCTTTCTTTTTTTTTTTATCTGCTGGGTTCGCGCGTTGCGCGGGTCAACGTCAACGCCACCGCTTGTTTACGAGAAAGGTAACATCCCGACGAAAAGAGTGTTCCGAGGGGTTTCGATGGTATTAAAAAACAAGAGAATATTCAGCTGGCATTGTAGATGGTCACGAGGGCAACAAGAAGTGCTGGGTTGGGGAAGTGATTGTTGTGCATTGTTCGATAGTCTTTGTAGTACTATTCCCATATAACCTCACCTTGGAACACCTTGGAACACCTTACGCAGTATGTACTCGTACTCTCCCTCTCTACTCTGCCGTCAGCACATCCTTGGAAGCCAAACTTGGTTTGCCCGATCTCTCAACCTCAACCTGGACCACCTCGACGCTAAAGTAGTGGTCCCTCCCCACTCTCCTCCACCTCTCCCTCCACTGGCTTCGCTCTTGACTGGCGTGGCTTGGCGACCCCCGTTGTCGGCGATACTTAATTCCTTGACCCGCGGAGCTCTCTGAGTATTTTGCAGCCTTCAGGGGGTCCTCTTTCTTGTCTCCGTACTCCGAATCCGTGATTCCTGGTCTCTTCCCTGTTTCCTGTTTCCTTTTCCTTTTTTCTTTCTTTCTTTTCCTTTTGGATTCTTTGGTATGCATCACACTCCCCCCCTTAATTGCTCCTGCACCTGCGTCTCCACCAATGCTGATCAATTTAAAAAAAAGTTCACCCCGTGGGAAATCGTCCCTCCAGAACACCGCCTCGCGCCAGCCACATGCGGCCCTCGATCTCAGGGACTCTTGCAATTGACGATTCATTCCACCTCCGCCTCTTAGTTTTGACCGATTAAACTACACCACGGCGGTGATTCTCGCAGGCCCTGGTCCCTGCGGACCATCATAACCCTTCCCCTCCCAACGCCTTCAACAGACGTCCACACCGCTCCCCTCATCGACTCGTCACCATGGCTTCCTCCCTTATTTCCAAGAGACTACGCTCAACCGAAGCCGATAAGGATGTCGAGCCGAGCTGGCTTCGTCGCCAGGTCACTGGTGGCCTCCAATTCATCTCTCGTCGCGCCTGCATTCACCCGATTCACACCATTGTGGTGATTGCGCTTCTCGCCAGCACCACTTATGTTGGCCTTCTCGAAGGTAGTCTGTTGGACACACGCAACTCGCGAAATGTCGCGGGCCAAGTGGATACGGAGACTCTCCTTCAAGGAAGTCGGAGTTTGCGACTAGGAGAGTCCACCTCCTGGAAGTGGCAAGTCGAAGATTCTTGGACTGATGAGAGCGTGAGCAATTTTGGCCCGTGCCTACAAAGTTGAATCCAATAAGCTAACCCAAAATTTTCCCCCTGATAGCAGATTGAGGTCACCGCTGCTCGCCACCTCGCTTTGACCACTTTTATTTTCCCGGATTCCACCTCCAAGTCGGCCTCGACCGCTCCCGCGGCAGACACTGTCCCTGTTCCTGGCAACGTCTCTGCTCGTTCGGTTCCTTACACCCCTAACCTGTTCTCGCCTTTCTCCCACGACTCCGCTCTTGCATACACCGTGCCCTTTGACCAGGTCTCGGAATTCCTCAGAGCCGTTCAGGAGATCCCGGACTCGTCTGCCGACGAGGAGGAGGAAGAATCGAAGAAATGGATCATGAGGGCCGCACGCGGGGCTACTGGCTCGCGCACCGCTCTGAAGATTTGGCTGACCGATGCCTGGAGCTCTTTTGTGGATATCATCAAGCACGCTGAGACAATTGACATTGTCATTATGGTCCTCGGTTATATCTCGATGCACTTGAGCTTCGTTTCACTGTTCTTCTCGATGAGACGCCTGGGCTCTAACTTCTGGCTCGCTGCCACTGTTCTCTTCTCCGGTTCATTTGCATTCCTGTTTGGTCTCCTTGTGACTACCAAGCTCGGTGTGCCGATCAACCTGCTTCTGCTGTCCGAAGGCCTTCCTTTCTTGGTTGTCACTATTGGCTTCGAGAAGCCCATCATGTTCACTCGTGCAGTTCTCAATGCCTCTGTGGACAACCGTCGCCCTCACCCTGGTGCCGCTCCCCGGCCCCTCGCTTCCAGCACACCCGCCTCCATCCAGGACTCCATTGCGACTGCGATCAAGCAGCAGGGCTTTGAGATCATCCAGCACTACTGCATTGAGATCGGTCTCCTGGCCATTGGTGCCGCCTCTGGTGTTCAGGGCGGTCTTCAGCAGTTCTGCTTCCTCGCGGGCTGGATCCTCTTCTTTGACTGTGTCCTCCTGTTCACCTTCTATACCACCATTCTGTGCATTAAGCTCGAGATCACCCGCATCAAGCGTCATGTCGCACTGCGCAAGGCCCTTGAGGAGGATGGTATTACCCACAGCGTTGCTGAGAGCGTTGCCTCCAGCAACGATTGGCCCAATGTTGGATCTGACGGTGGCGAAGGTGATACTAGCATTTTCGGACGCAAGATCAAGTCCAGCAACGTGCGTCGCTTCAAGATCCTCATGGTTGGCGGTCTTATCCTGATCAATGTTGTGAATCTCTCGGCTATTCCCTTCCGCAACACCGGTAACGGTGCCCTAATCTCGCGTCTCTCTAATGTCATGGCACCTGCCCCTATTGACCCCTTCAAGGTCGCTGAGAATGGTCTGGACACCATTTACGTGACAGCAAAGAGCCAGAAGCAGGAGACCATGGTCACGATCATCCCGCCCATCAAGTACAAGCTCGAGTACCCGTCTGTTCACTACGCCCCTGGCGAGTCTTCTTCGTTCGAAATTGAGTACACTGATCAGTTACTCGATGCTGTTGGTGGCAAGGTCCTCGAGAGTCTCCTCAAGAGCGTGGAAGACCCAATCATTAGCAAATGGATCATCGCCGCGCTTACACTCAGTATCATTC